CAGTTTTTTCCACCATAAAGCAGCACCAGGCTGACAGGTAGTAAAACAATAACCCAAGTGATTTTTGAATTGTTATTTTATACTTTAAAAGTACTTTTTGTTTTTATTGTTTTATTTTTCAGGGTCTTCTAATTTATTTTATTAAATTGTATAATGTTCTTCAGTTTAAAATGTATGTGATCCATTGGTTAAAAGTAAATGGGTCAATTTTTCTCATACCTTCTCTTTTTCACTGTTTGACCTGATCAAGACTTTTCTACGATTTTACACTACAAAATAGGTAAAAGTGTGTGACTTGTACTGTTATGGTAATGAGTCAATATCGGTACAGCTCAATATCAGTATCGGACAATTCTCAAAGTTGTAATATCGGTATCGTATCGGAAGTGAAAAAGTGGTATCGGGACATCCCTAGCTGCTACCACTTCAATTTTTCAATATCCGTGAAACTAAAAGAAGCCATTTCTAAGTTTGCTAAAGACACTTGACAGTGGCTGCCATTTTGAATTGTATTTGCTCTAAAAGTTAACCAATTGTAGATATCAACTCAATGATTACATTCTGAAAAAGTCATTGAAATTTATACAGTGGTTCATGAGATATTTTGCTAATAAAGACAGCAAATCTATTGGACATGTAGTCCTTAAAATGCGTTTTGGAGTTTAAGCTTCACTACAACCACACCAAACATTATCGTAAAATCTGTCTTGTTTGCTAATTTTGCTTTACTGTGGTGGCCATTTTGAACGGGGTTTACTACAAATGTTTAAAAATAGTAAATGTACTCTTCCTACATGCAAACAAGCAAACACAAAAACATTTGCCTTTTGGAGGCCTGACGACAGCATTTCTTTTCTCTTGATCAAGTTTACTTTCGTTTGCTTCTTCAATTACAATTATAAAGAGGCATGCATCATTCTGGAAAATGATTTGATATTCAGCATTTGAAAACAATCCTTTGGTCCCACCTTTGAAACCTCAACTCAACCTCCAATATTAAAAACAGAGGTAGCCGTGTGAGGAAAAAAAAAGAGATAATCACATGTTTAACTTTACATCCTAATTCAACCTCTACTGGATGCATGCTAAAAAATATTAAACTAATTCATATGAACTATTGTGGGGGTATGGCTACGATAGGGACTAATTTAGTGTCTGGCTACAGCTGACCAACGCTAACATTAAGATAAACTACCCTAGCTTGCTAACACATGCTACGCTTAAACAGGCCATTTATTCCCACATTAAATATAAAAGCTACCATTATATTATTTATACAATTGTAGATGCTGTCTACGACTAAGCTCAGATAAAAAGGTAACATAGAAAATGTAGTTTCAGTGGATCAATTCATCAGGTAACGCTAGCTCACCAGCTGTCACCGTTAGCAATTCAGTTTAGCCTGATAGCAGAGTTCGTAAACCACCGTCAGGCGGCGAGGCTTAAAACTAAATGCAGACACAAGAATACCTACCTCACACAGTAAACTCTAAAACTGTTGTAGGTTCAAGAAGAAACACGGTCGCATTATTAGAATAAATTTGACTCTTAGAACATTATCCTTGCTGCATACTCAGCTGGCATACTATCTGAGCACGCCTGGTAGTAGCAATGCACGCCTGGTGTGTGTTTCTGGTCGAATAATTCAAGCGGTTGAAGCGCTATAGCGCCATCTAGTGTTCAGGCGGAAAAACAGGACTTTGGTTCCCAAAGTTGAGCTTGGGGCCCAATGAGTCATGAAGCACCTTGGATAATCTCCAGAAACCAATTTAAAGGGTAATAAAATAATTGCTGATGTAATATTTTCCCTATAACTATTACAAAAACA